ACTATTTAATACTTGAATCATATGCATTTATCAATCAAACAATTTTTAGGAGGCAGGGGAAGCATTTCCCCCACTAGCATTGGCTAAATTTTGCAAAAATAATGTGATTTCAAAATTTGAATTTGCCACCTTAGCAAAATTCAGTGCTACCTATTACAGCATGTGCATTTTCGAACAATTTTTAGAATTTGTATGAAAACATAGTCTTTTTTTGATCAAAATCGCTCAAACTTCTACACATAAAAGTACGAATCAAAAAATGTAATACATTTTTTAAGGAACTGCCATAAAGTACAGTACTATTATAATAAGCTCCTGTCCATAGTCTTTGTGCTATAATCATAAATTCTGTGAATAACTTTCAGCTACATGTACATATAATTGCGTAGTCTTGTTAAATCTTTAAAATAATCATGGCAACAGCTGTTTTGAAAATGCTTATGTTTCATAGTTTACTGTACAATGCTTCTCTTGCGAGTAAATAACTTGCAATGACATCATGATCCTTATGTTTTTTTGAAGCTATATATGTATATATGTAGCATTATAAACAAGAGCAACATATATACAGTTATGATGGCAGTGTCAGTGCTAATGGTGTTGGTTATTTGGTTGTTGAGTGCCAGTGAAGTTATTAGTCAATGTCCACCTTCCTCAGGTAAGACACTGGATGTGTATAATAACAACTGTATAGGTTTTTATAGGTATCTACCTGAGGCATAATGGAACCTGTTATCCCAATGGATCATATTTTCCAGACAACAGCATCAGACCAACTCCTCTGCAGTGTGCATTACTTGGTGCTACTCTGAATGGTGGTGGACAATGGATTGGTCCTAATGGAACAGTTCCTTGTGATAGTGGTAACAATGTAAATGTTCAGTGTACTACTGGGTTGGGTGCTAACCTCAGTGTTTTCATAAATCCGCCAAGCTATCTTGGGGCAGATGGTGATGGCTGGTACAAGTGTTGTCTACCCACTGATTGTTCAGATCCTAACACTAACATCATCTTTGCTAATATATTCAGTAAGAGGAGACTATAATCACTTACTGATGTAGTCTGGCCCCGCCTCTTCGTTGCGCGGGGGTGGCGCAGAAGAGTCTGGTGACACTGCTACAGAATTTGTGGCACTAAGCACAGGATTGAGCGTCCCAATCAGATTGCAGCACTCACGTGGAAGTAACTTTGTCACGTGATCTATTCAAAATGGCTGCAAGTATGACTGACAAACCTGCTGTAGAATACGATAAATGCTAGCAAAAAAAAACAGAAGCTAACTGTAGAGGAAGTAAGAGAAGAATATGAAGAATCCTCGTGTTAAACTTGGCTGAAAAGTATACGGATTTTCTGTTTTCACTCCCGCATATGTTGT